TGAAACCATACTCAATCAAGGAATGGATCACAGTCCAACAACAACAACGATGAATAATACAAGTTATCATCAACAAATAGGAAGGTACAAACAACACACATGCTAGCATTTAAACACCGAACTAGCATGCTTATCAAACGGGTAAACCAAACGTAGTTCTGAAGAACACACAAGACTCATCACGGTTCAATGAAACACAATGTTGAACACTTGGCACGATTCAAGACACCAAAAGCCTACATGGATACCTACCACATAGTTTTAGACATACGAAACATCAAGAAGACACTCAAATAGTTCCACAAAAGAATAACGGGAAGTCCAAAGACCAAATACCGAGTCAAAAGAATCATTGGGAACAAATCCCCAAACAACACCAACACTGTGTACCCGCGGGTAGGCCCACGGGTAGACCTCTACCCGCGGTTCCGCCCGCGGGTACAGGTCACCCGGCCAATGTACCCCGCGGGTGGGCAGCGGGTTGGACCCCTACCCACCGTTCCGCCCGCGGGTACACCCCTGTACCACAATTCATCACTTCGCAGATTTTCTTCTCCAAACTCAAATTCAAGTCCAAAACATGCCAAATCTCACCAAATACAACAAAATGACTTGAATCAAAGGAAATGCCAAGCAATGGCACACAAGAACCCTAAACACAAGCTCTAGATATGCATTTTCACAAGATCATGCATCAACACTCACATTTCATAGCAAAACACATGTAGAATCCAAGAAATCACATATAGGTAAGCAAAATAGGTTTTGTAGAGCACGGGTTACCTCTTGTAGACTAAAGACTTCACTTTACACCTCAACAAGCTCCTCACTAGGCTCACCTTCCAAACCCACTTCAAGAACAAACCAAAAGATCATAAAGATCCTAGCTTTAAGAAAAGACACCTTAGATAGAACCAAAAACACAAGATGAACTTAGATCTTACCCTCCTAGATGCCCAAATATAAGAAAGGTTGAATCTTGGAAGCAACTCTTGAAGTCTTAGCAAGGTTCCAACTTGGCTTGGAAGAAAAGCTACTCGCCTTTTAGAGAGAGGATGGAGCTAGATTTTTAGAAAAGTGTAAAGATAGAATGAAGGTGGTCTACTAGGTTAGGTTACATTACCAACAACAAGTGAAAGGTCAAGAATGCCCTTACTAACATAAGGAAGTGTAAGGAACAAGGGAACTCCTTACAAAGCTCAATGTACAACTTTGACTTTGGGGGTTGAATAGTCAATTACTAGTCCCAAACTATTAAATTTCAGGAATTTAAGGAATTAAATTACAATTTGAAATAGGATTAATTACTCAATTAATCCCTTTGTTGAATTTGGATTTCGGGGTGTCACAGATCGGCTCCCATAGCATTCCCTTCATCACTAGCCTCAGCTATATGCCCAGATTCAATCCCAACATTTGGCCACATTCTTCGTGGCACATTCAAACTAACCTCAAGAGCAATTCTTTTATCCAAAGGTTTCTTGGCAATGTCGGCCAGGGTCAGGTACTTGTTATCAGTGGTCTGGTACAACTCATAGTATCTTAGATTGGCGGCATTCAAAGCCGTTCTAGTGGTTCTTTGTATTCTCTCTCCCAACTCGGGCAAATTCATCTTCTCAAAAATCCAACTCAACATCACATCGTAGGGAAAATTTTTCCTGTTCTTTGATTTAAAATAGGACATGTGCTTAAGGATCAAAACTGGCAAATTTATCGCACGTCCAAACCTCAACATGAAAGCAATAGTACAAGTCCAACTACCAATCATTGTAGAGTTTTTCCTACACGGGAACAAGCACTACTCTATCAGTAATACCAACAACTTCCTCTCTCCAGTCAACGTGGGTCTCTCAGGGCGGTATTCCTTAGGGAATTCTTCCCTACTTCTAGTCATATATATCAAATATTCATGGTATGTCAAACCTTCATGGGCAACCCAATCGTCCCGGTCATACATGTCCAGTCCATCTAATGGTAGGTCAAACCAATTGGACAACTTTTGTGGTGTCAATTCGACTTTTGTACCTCTCACATTAGAGGTAATCATAGTCACACCTTTCTTATGCTTCGTGGACAAGTTCTCATAAAATTCAATCACCAAATATGTATAAATTTCTTCTTGAATTCTACAAAATTTCCTCAACAAACCCCAATTCTCCAGTATACTATTAAAATCCTCAGAAAAGTGCTCAGGAGAATAAGTTTTACCTCCTATTGCTGAGTAGGTAGGGCCTTCTTGATTGGTTCCCTCCACTTGTTGTTTTCCTTTTGCCATTGTAGTCCAAAGCTTCTTGACTTGATTTTGCTCAAATTGAAGTGGATGACCCAACTAGTATTTTTCTTGCACTTAGGATAGTTCGTGGAAGACACTCTTGAAGTTCCCTTGATTAAAGATGGTGATTTGAAGGAGATAGGTTTTTGGTTGGGGTTGAGGGAGAAAGCAGTGCAATAGAGAAGAAGAAGAAGATGAATTTCAACACTCTGATTTGGGGAAAAACTGATCGAGGGTTAAAGGTGGTGGGGCTTGGCAGCGGCCCTCCAAGTGGCCCGCCCCAAGGCCCGATGTCAGCGAGGCTAACACGGCCTCAGGTCACGGACCGTAACGTGGTCCGTGACAACGTCCCGTGCAACAGAACAGGGCCTGCTCCGGTCCGTGGCCTAGATCCGCCCCCGGGTCGGGTAATCGGGTCCAATTGCAATCGGTCATCCGACTTTGTCAAATCTTCATATCGGGTCAAAATTAGATGTGGCCCTCGACTTTAATAAACCCCGTTTCTTAGTCAACCCTTTGTCTTTTAAATCCTTTCCGGGATTTGCTTGTCCCAATTCCAACGTAAGTTAAATTCTCATCCAAATCTTTTCTCGTCGTTTCTTTCTTTTTCCTGTTTCCACTTCTATTTCGGTAAACAACTCTTCTAGTTAAACCTTAATCGTTTTCCAGCGATTTCATTCTTACTTACACCTATTTTCATTCGTCTAATCTCTTGTTGGTTAATTCATAGCATTCAAGCCGATACCTTCTCTAAAGCAATCCTAATTAACTTTTAAATTCTCAAAATCTTAGACTAAGCACAACTTCAACAACTTGCAACAACTTTCGCAAACATACACACCCAATTAAGCATTCATGCAAGAATCAACACACTCATTCCAAATTAGAGTGTTACCTTTCTCAAGATTGTGGCTACCAGCCTGAGTCTGTCCCATGACCATGATCCTCCCTGGTCCAGCTCCTCCGGTACGTCCTTGCTGCGCTCCACCTCGTCCATGATTCCCATTCTGGTGCGGACCTCCTCTCGGTGGATACCCACGACCCATAGCATGATTCGGTGCCTGACTGATCGGACCTCTGGGTGGCTGGTTCGGGATCGTGCCATGAGATCCCTTCGTCTTCGGATATCGACAAGTAGTAGCTCTATGGCCCGGTCTCCAACACTGGAAGCAAATCACGGGCATCCCTCCACAAATGGTCCTAGGATGGTCCTTGCCACATCTCGAGCACACCGTACCCCTCTCACTAGGTGGTCCTCCAGCTCTAACTCCCTGTCTCATCGCCAGATTCTTCCTTTCCCCGCCTCGGTTGTCAAACCTGCTCGTCGGATTGAACCTGTGCCCCTTGTTTGATTGTGAATCCATACCCTCATTCTTTTTCTTCAATCCCTGCATGGGATCTCGATGCAACTGTTAAATCCTAGAGTAACCAGCAGTTGCGTTGTAGGCTTCGGTCAACGTAGCAAACCTCGTCGTGGAGAATGACTTTTCGGCATCATAGTGCAACCCTCGGATAAACTTACGAGCCCTACTAGCCTCATCGGGTGCCAAGGTAGGAGCAAATCGAGATAGCGCCACAAAGCGGGCACGATACTCCTGGACAGTCGAGCTTCCTTACTCGAGATGCAAGAATTCTTCATACTTAGCAGCCTTGACATATTCCGGATAGAACCTCTCCCTCAATACTATCTTGAACATCTCCCAGTCAAACCCCTCTCTCGCCTGAGCAGTCGGTCCCTCTATTACCCACCAATGATCGGCCTCCCCCTGAAGGTAGTACACAGCAGCCTCTACTCGCTGATCCATCGGGGATCCTACCACGTCAAACAGCTTGTCGAACGTACGGATCCAACTCTCGAGAACCTCCGGATCCTCATGGCCTAAGTAACTCGGTGGGTTGCGTCCCGTGATCCTCCTAGACATATCTCCGCCACCATTGTTCCCATTTAGCACGACGGCTCCGATAGTCTGAGTCAACTGGGTGAGCTGGCACAGGCTCTCTGTCAAGTCAGTAGAAGATGATGCTCCGGGTCCTGAGGAACGAGGAGATTCCTCTGTAACTCTTCGCGGCGGCATCGCCATGTCCTTTGTACATGACCAGAACAGATCATTCTTGTTAGCACGACTAAAGGTTAGCTGATTCTAACTTTTCTATTCTTAAGACAAAGCTCGCAACAAGCAAGGCGCACACAAAACAAACAAAGGCACTTCTTCTCAACTACTTTAACAACTTTTCAACAACAAACTTCTTTTCTACACTTTAGCTCTCAAACTTTTGGTCTTTCTCTTTCAACTTCCCACTTTTACACTACAAGAAAAATCGTGAATTGCGATGGAAAATCGCGACGGAAGCTATTCTGTCAGCATATAACGACGGAATTCGTGACGGAAATTAATTCCGTCGCTATTTTTGGTGCAAAGAAAAAATTTAACCCGCGAAATCTTGGCGACAAAATGTTCACGATGGAATTTGCGATGGATGTGAGTTACGTTGTCCATTTAGCGACGGAAAAGACGATGGAATTATGCTCCGTCGCGAAATGGCGACGAAAATTGTGACCGAATTTTTATCCGTCACGAAGGAAGGATTTTTAAAATTTTAATAAATATTGCGACGAAATCAATGATGGAATTAATTCCGTCGCAATTGTATATTAAATTTTATTTTGAGTTATCTTGAGTTCTTAACATAGTATCCACTATTCCATTGTCCAAAAGTTAAATTTCAGGGAGAAGAAAAATTAAATTTCAAACCCTAATCCCTAATTCTCTACCGTTTCTATCGCTTCTCCAACTCAGCTGACAGCTACTCTTGTGAATACGACAACCAACGAGTTCCGACCACAAAGCTGCTGTCGACGAAGCTGCTGCCCGGTTTCAGCCTCCGCCCCTGCCTACGACGAAGTTGCAGACTCTGAACTTAGCCTCCCCTGTAAACCAAGGTAGCGCCCTTTTCCGATGTTTTTTTCCGCTGACTATCTTTCCACCCTGGTATATTTCATGATTCTTTTTTCAAATTTTAGTATCTATTAATATGTTATTATCTATCATGTGTTTCTTTTTTGTTAAACACTTTTTAGACACGTAGATGTGCATTTATATATGAATACAAATTCCTGTAAAAATGCAAAAAATAAAAAATAAAATTATTTGATGTGAAATTGCCTTCTGTTTGATGTGATTCTGGAAAAAGGAAAAAGTAATACCTGACTAATCTTTTATTTGCAATATCTGATTACATATGCAATCTGAAAGAACGAATGAGATATTGGATTATTGATCTTTTATTTTGTAATGCAATGAAATTATATTTGAAGGAAATCTGTAAGGACGAAGTGCTTCTCAGTATATGGGGATTCCTATGGTGACAGGTTTAATAATGTTACTCTAAAGTGATTAAGTGATAGGGCTTCTATTTCAAGTTTTACATTGAAATTACTTCTTCTTTCAGTGTTATTCAACTGCTTTGGCTTTTTATGACCGTCTAGGTGTTTTTGCATGTTACATTCTAACGAAGCAGAGATGATAGGAAGAATGAGGTTGTAAATCTTGTCTGGATAAAGCTTCTTCCTATGTAATGCAAGTTTGCCTAATATTCTTGTTATGTTAGGAAATAAGGTTTTACCTAAATATATCTAATGTTTTATGCATACTATAACAGGCCTTACTCAAAAGATGTAGGGAATGAGGATACTAATGTTTCTGCTCTTCTTTCTGTAAGGTTAGTTGCTGATAGGCCTCACTTTCTGGAGTTTAATTGATGTAAAATTCAATTCAAAGCAAAGTTAGAGGTTAGTCATTTATTTCAAGTATTTGCTATCGTGTGCTTGCTTGATTTAGTTATTGCTCCACTGTGATCTCCTATATTAGCAATCATCAACTTGACAGTTCATACAAAGGTTTGTGAATTTTCCATACTTCAGTTCAATGTAGGAAGCTTATGGTAAATGGTCCTTGTCTGAAACCTATATATTTTGTTTTTGTCAGTTTTCCCATATAACTGTTGCCTGTTGATGGTTGCGATTCTCTTTTTTAAACAATATATTTTTAAACAAAAAAAAAACATATTTTTGAATGGTCTGTAAACTTGCAAGATGAATTTATCAGTCTGTATAAATTTTAAAAGTATAATAGAAAGCACATGCAACAAACTATTTTAGCAGACAAACAGCAAACCTACTAGAACATTAGACATCCAAGGTTCCATTCAGTGGACTTAACCATTTATATGATTTGTGGAGACGCATTACGCATATAATTCAAATTGTATGTAGTTGATATTTATCTCTTTTTCCCTTAACATAAAGGTTTTTCCTTCTATTTTCTAGCCAGATGGTGAAGGTCTGTAGACTTATTCTCTTTTTTTGGTGTGTTTCAGGATGATGATGAAGCTGAAAAAATTGGTTGCTGCACTTTGAAAGTAGAGAATGTGGAGCCAGTGGCTCCAGATACCCTGAAGGTACTTTTCTTTCTATGTTCTGTATGACCATGTCACTCTTCTGATGGAAATTAAACTTCACATGTAAAACTAATTGGTGAAGGAAAAAGATAGTTCTCTGTCTAGTCTTCTACCAAGTAATTGCAATGTGAAGAACTGATGTTTTCTTCCACTCCCTACAGTTTGATTTTCTTGCTAAAGATTCTATCAAATATCAGAACGATGTTCGGGTCTTGGAGCCTGTTTTCAAAGCAATTCAACAGTTTCGAAAAGGTTAGTAATTGGAGATTTATATTAGTATGTAATATGTGATCATTTATAAGTGAATTCCATTTGTAGAAATTTTATTTTGCCTTTTCTTGATTTTGCCTTAACACAGTACATGCCATTCAATTAGCACACTCAAAACTCAAAAGTTTTCATATTTACATCCAAGTTGAACCGGTATGTTTTGTTTCCATAAGTTCAATTTATAGTATTGGCATTGGCTTGTCTTTCTAGGGGACTAAGAGAGCGAGCTCTAATCTAAATTCTAAAAAAAGATTCACATATTTCATTCATAATTGAATGTACGATCTTAGAATGAGATGGACCACTTAGTCATATATTGTAGTAACACTTAATTTGTATTTTTATCTAATTTTTCATGTACTGTTTGCAGCCTGATTTGCAGTCTACTGCAGAAAGAAGGTGCAGAATCTGAATTATTTTGGGATATATTGGGTGGAAAATCTGAATACTCTAGCCAGAAAACTGGAAGGGAATGCTGAAAGTGATCATCATCTGTTCTTGTGCACCTTCTCAAAGGATAAGAGTTTATTTAAAGTGATCCTCATATGATCTTAGTGAAGTGAAGTGAAGAAGATTGATGTCTCTTGAATACGTGAGAGGCTTGATCAAGACAACATTGTGACCTTAGTTGTTAGAATGAATGCTACCAAGTTAAAACCTTTATGATCTTGTTATCTTGATTTTTCTTTGGTGAGGACTATTATATGTTGTTTAGACTTGAATTGACTATTTTTAGTTACTAAATGTGGATTGATGATGTATTATTACTTGAACTTAATGTAAATTGATAATGTTTAGAGTTATGTTATTTTTTAGAATTAATTGTGTTTTAGTATGTTATTGTAGTTTTATATTAATATTTTAAAAGCTCATATTACTATTTAAAAATAATAATTATAAATAATTTTTAAAAAATAAAAATAAAAAATGCGATGGAATCGCGACAGAATATAAGTTTTGCGATGGAATATTTGTTGCCAAAATGCGACGAAATTACGATGGAATCGCGACGGAAAAATAATATTGCGACGGAATATTCGTTTTCAAAATGGCGACGAAATTAGCGTCAGAATAATTTCCGTTATCAAAATGCGATGGAAAAAATTTCATCGCTAATTTGCAACGCCTTATTCCGTCGCCATATTTTGCGACGGAATTATTCCGTCGCGAACAAAAATACGACAAGTCGATAGACGACGGAACGGATTCCGTCGCGAAATGTGATTCGCGACGGAATTTTGCTGTTTCGCGACGTAATTTTCCCATCGCGATTCCCGATTTTTCTTGTAGTGTTAACTTCTCTACTTTGCTCACAACAGATAACAAAAGCACAATGAGCACATTGGTAAAACACATAAGCAATTTACAACAAAGCAAGGAACTCACAACCTCACCGCGTTCCTATTTGATACTTCGAGCTTTTCTTATCACCGAATCTCACACTTTAACCACTGAACTTGAGGCTTTCTTAACTTAATTCATCACTTAGGGTTCTTTCCCTAATCTTATCCTTCCTAGGATTTCATTTAAGTTCATCTTCTTAACTTATCCTACTTAGGATTTCAACTTAGAGGTCATTTCTTATTCGATCCTTCCTAGGCTTCCACTTAGAATTTCTATACTCAATCCTAAGAGTCAAACTTCCTAAGTTTCCCGCGGATCGAACTGCTCTGATACCAATTTGTAACACCCCACTTTTTCTAAATCTTAATTACAATTCTAAACCTCAATTAACATAAACTAAGCAACGGATAAACAACTTAATAAGTAAACTAGTGAGAATGTCACTGCCACAACCACCACTCCCTGGTGATTGCAAAGGCTAAGGATGGAACTAGAAATAAAACAAATAACTAACATCCATAAAACTTAATTTTAAAAACATAACGGGGAAAAACACACCCCGATGTCTACATCATCAATCATCATCAAAACAACATAAGTCTATAAATCCGACAAATAACATCATGATAAAAGACTATGAGTTCAGACTACTAGAGATACTAGACTAGTCTAACTCGATCACCTCTCAACGCTGGGCCCACCTGAAAGGGATTTTACAAACAACACATAGACAAATAGGAAAACATCCGGTAACACGAAGCTAAATATAACCACACTCAACCCTGTAAAGTACTATAGAATATACTTTGGAAAAACATTTGATAACATTCATAATCAACAATCTCATCACATAGGTAACTATAGATACATCAAAGACTTTCTATATGCTTGCAACCTATAATATCAACATGCATGCTTCAAAAGAAATGATTAAACAACATAAGCATTCCAACACATAAGTATCACAACATCTCCTCATAAAGAACTCATGCTTACAAGTGAATTCATACTACTAATCAATATGAAAACTAACTCCATGCTTTCAAATTCTCATCATGCAAACTGTATATATAAGACTTCAAAAATGCAACTAAGCAATCACACTCATAAACAAATTCGGCAAATCATTCTCCTTATGCAATCTCGTGCAATACTATACTCAAATGCAATCTTGTGCAGTACTATAAATGTGCTCAAATGCAATCTCGTGCAATACTATAAATGTACTCAAATGCAATCTTGTGCAATACTATAAATATACTCATACACTCGTTTGTAAAATAGAATACTTTCTGTGGAGGTCTCATTGAGTCATAAATGACTTGCTTTCTTTCTTTCTTCTCTTAGAGTTGCAATGACTCACTTCTTCCTTTCTTAGAGTCGTAATGACTCACTCTTTCTTTATAAATGGACGAGGTAGGAACTTCACCATAATGTGAATGAACCTATCCGGGCACGGCGTCTAGCCGACCTAATACTTTGCTCATCCACCGAACCACTCTCTTGGTTCTATTCTCAAACTCTGTGGGATCAGGTATCGAACTATTAGTGTGCACACCCCCTGACCAGGATTCCAAGCCTGGCGGGCAGTTTCCAACCTCGTAATGTGGGAATACACCGCGTTACATATACTGGGACCGCAATGTGCATAAAATCATCCGAGAGGACATAGTCCAAACGGGGTCCTCCAAAACCTCACTGATATAGATGCTATATAAATATATCTCTCATGCACCAAACTTATGCATTGCCACAACTCAACAACTTCTCAATGCATCAAATAATGATATACAACATGCTTATGGATTTTGAAAGTAATACTTAGGCTCACGTTGGCCACTTATGCACTTTTTAAAACATGATATGCTTGGAATGCCAAAATTCATATAACATGCTTCAAATCCATATAAAAATCATAAGATTCTCAAGAATACAATCTCATACTCGGCGTGCAACATAACAAATTCTATGTAATTCTATCATTAAAATATACTCCAAATCCCATTGATCAAACAACACATTCTAGTCATGCTTTTCTAATAAGTCATATTTTCAAAGTGATCATGCTTCTCTACTCAATACATAAACAAACATCAGGCAACAAAGCAAGACATTTCTCATTTACAGTGAACTTCAAAATACATACTGTGTAGCAAAATCATCAATAAATCCATCATAACATGCTCATTTCTAATCCAAATTCAACGAAATCAAAGCCAAAACGTGCGTCGAGACTACCCCGAGGTACCGAGCCACAAGGGCCGTGACACCTGGCCCGAAACGACACGTAGCTGAGCCACAAGGGCCCGACCACTGCACAGACTACTCTCAGAAACCAGGGAGCGGGGCTCCTCATGAGCCGCCCCCTCAGGCCGTAACAACGTCAGGCCTAGGCAACGGCCCTCTCCTAGGGCCGTGCCCTAGGCCCAGTTGGCCCCGGCTCTAGCCGGTGGCCCCTTGATGGGCCACGGCTAGGGCTGTAACATTCATCTGTAAAACACATCCAAACAAGTCCAACACATCCAAAGCATTATCAAAACATCATAGACAATAAATAGGTCACTTCCTAGCTCAAACACAACAAAAAATCCAACATTCTACTCATTTCTATTAAAAAATGTAGGCTTCACAGAGCCAAAAATGAAGAGGGAGTCCATGGGGACATGGGATTATACCTTTGTAGATTCCTCCTTTTTTGTTGGGATTTCTCCTTCTTCCCAACTAGCTACACCCTCCTTCACCCCCTAGACATGACAACCAACCAAACAACAAGCCTTAAGAGCTAAGTTCTCAGAGATGGAAGCTAGAAATCAAAGAAGCTAGGAGAATAATGAAGAAATGGAAGCTTACTGTGTTTTCGTGCAAAGTTGGCTTGGGGAAGACAAGGAAGAGAATCAAAGAGGCAAATGTCTAAAAACATTCCATTTTATAGGGCTCTAAACCCTAGGAGACTCAACAATGATTGGTGGAAGGCAAAAGTGTAATTTTCCATTGGCTAGAAGATGAAGCAGGAAAGGGTTTTGGATGTTTAGTGGTCCACCATGCTCCATGGTCCACGGGCTAGAATTGTTATTTAAAATACTTTGGGGTTGAAAAGGAATTTTCTCAAAAAGTTTTCTAGATGAACACTTGTTTAAGGCTTCTCAGAATTCTCCCGGTCTCACTCATATTGGTTTCTCAATTTAAAACTTGGTACGCGAAGTACCCGAAAATTTAGGATTTTGGATTAAAAATAAGTTTTGGTGTAGAATTAATTTAAAATGTGTTCAAAATAATTTATTCAAACACGAATTGATCGCAAAAATTTTTAATGGAGTTAAAATGGCTATTTTGGAATTTCTTAAAATTGGATTTATAAAATTAAATTTTGGGTTGTCACCACCAACTCCCACGCGTTGAGTACAATACATATAGATATAAGAAACCATTTTGAGACTTGGGAATACATAGATATAGCCCTAAACAACTCTAACTTTAAAACCAGGAATAAGACTGACACACCAACAGACTTGACACGACAAGACACATAAAGACACAATGATGCAAACTAAGACCACAAGACAAGATGACATTACGACTTGACAATAACAACAAGAGCACACAACAAGATATGTCCATGTTCCAACCTTATACCAAGTTCCAACCTTTACGCCTCTCCAACCTTATAAATGTTCCAACCTGTACCTCCAGTCCACCCTACACACCACATCCTTATCCCTCCGGAGCACCGCGTGCTCCCCTCCTACACGACCTCCTACATAATCACCGATCTCATAGCATCCGCGATGCCTTTAAATCACAGACCGGTACCGCAATACTATCACACACAAGCACGCGCAGTGCATCAACCACCAATCATATCTTTTCCACCAATCACATATCTTTTCTTTTCACCATGGACAACAACACACAAGCAAGACTCGACAATGACTCCATAAGGGGATAATCTGGGAAGGGCACATCATGCACATTGACTTTCAACAACAAGTTCCCTCAAGGCGACCACAAGACACATAGAGACCATACTTTGGCACCACACGATACAAATATGGGCCACATGCAAAGATACGACTCAAAATTCACGTTACGAAACTTAAGACATCGTACTGGAGCCACAAACATCAAAGAAGACACCTCGGGGCACGGGGTTTGACCCAACGGAGACCGAACCACCCCGCGCTGGCCCGTACCAGCAAGTGGTACGGCGGGTGGACCACCACCCGCCAACCTCCCGCCGACGGTCACCATAAGTTCCAGCGGGTGGACCGACGGGTGGCCGTCCACCCGCCCGTCCTCCCGCTGGAACACCACACCGGTTCCGGCGGGTGGTCAGGTGGGGTGTAACACCCCGTGTTACGACCCCTAAGATCAATTAAATCATTTAATCAATTACCCAAAAGAGAGAATTAAATCACAATAATTAATTAGGAAAGGCCCACCATAGTCCACGGGCCCTTATCCCTAAACCCAATCCTTAGTCCCAAAAGAAATAGAACTAGCAAG